TTCGGAGATGATCTTTTTACGACAAAACTCGACGTCTCAGTTTTCTTCCAACACGAGGTAAAATCCTTTACTCCCTATCAATTTCAATTTTTGTTTAATTATGTAACATTTCTGACTTTTGTATGAGGTAAAATTGATTAGCGACAGGTAGACGAATAAAGAGATGACACGTGGAATATAAGGCAGGTAAGATATGAGTCAGCAAATAGTTGGCACCAAATACAAATATGTGACCGGTTTTGAATACGTTCCAAAGGCATTGGAACCGAGAACGAAGATTCAAAAGGAAGACATCGGTTGGAAAAGACAACATTCAATGAGAAGCCGTTAGAAAGAATCTCTATATTAATTCTCAACCGTTATGTTGCCATCAAGAAGGGTTTTATTCACATTGAGGAAGAGCTTGATTTGGGGATCTTGTCTCCTTGAATAGAGCTATAAATAAGGGAATTTGTATTCATGAAAGGACACAAAACATTCTATACGCAAAAGGCCAAAATCTGTTCTTATTCTATCAATCTACTTTCTTTCTTCTATTCTTGCTATAGTTCTTATCACCACTTCTGGAGAAGCTAAGTCCATAACCAGGCTTGTATTTCCTTCAAGTTATTTTAATAATCTCATTTTTGTTCTTATTTATTTCATAATCTTGGATCAAATTAATTCATGTGTCTATAAATCACGTTACTAATTTAACTTACCATTTTACGGGTAAATAGTTTGGTACCCACCGTGGAGCATAGTCAATTGTGTAATTACTTTAATCTATGCATCTGTTACTAACACAATTAATTCTTTTATCTAGAAAAAGAAAAATCAGATATGGAAGCTAATGATGTGAATAATTCTTACAATGTTGGAGTACACAACGAGCATGAGGATGTGTTCCAGCGTGATGATTCAACTAGCAAAACTCGCAATGAAAGAGATGAAACAATGCATTTTCGCAAAGAACAAAGTCCTCGGCATGTGAGAAGTCTAACTCCTAATGATGCGGATGATAAACATGTTGTTTAAATGGTCAAAATCTTGAGAGAGAAACAAAGGGAAATTATGAAGCATCTCTCAAGCAGGCGCTTTCGGTTGCTTCCAATAAATCCAATGGAGGAGTTCGGATTCCTCCCAACGTGCCTGCAAATCAAACAACGCAAAGAACCGATAACATCGCCCTAAGGGAGGAGTTTGATTTTAATGAAAATGAAGCAGGTGGTACATGTAGTGGATCCTGGAACGACAACAATGTTAATGACCCTTTCAAGACCGAGCTTATGAGATTCGTGAGGGAAATGAATGAACAAATGGACCAAAATATTAAAGATTCCATGCTCGAATGGATCATATCCCGGGAGTACCACCGGTGTTGAAGGGACCGGACTTAAAGAAGTATACACAGTTGCTGTTCAAACCAAGTGTGGCCCCCGAACTAATTCCGAAAAGATTCAAGATGTCTGATATTCCAAAGTATGATGGGACTTTAGATCCATATGAGCATATCACAACTTACACTACGGCAGTAAAGGGAAATGTCTTGGCCCCGCACGAGATCGAATCGGTTTTGTTGAAGAAATTTGGCGAAACCCTAATGAAAGGTACTTTAACTTGGTATTCTCTTTTACCTGAATATTCCATTGATTCTTATGAAATGCTCGTAGATTCTTTCATTAAAGCTCATGCTGGGGCAAGAAAATTCCAATCTAGGAAAGAAGACATATTCAGAATCTCTCAAGGAGAGACTGAACTCTTGTGAGAGTTTGTAATCCGATTTCAAAAGGAAAGGATATTGTTGCCAGCAGTACCAGATGAGTGGGCGGCTGAAGAGTTCACCAAGGATCTCAACCCACTAAGCTCTGATGCCTCGAAGAAGTTGAAGTAAAGCTTGTTGGAATTTTAGGAAACCACATGGTCATATGTCCATAATTGTTATGAATCAAAGATCAGAATCGAAGATGATCAACTAAGCTCTTCAGTGTTAGACAAGGATCACAACTTCGATCGGAATCAAGAAAAAATTAAAACTGATTTCGATTCGGACCGGAGATCTTCCAGCAGCCATTTTCAGCTTTACGAAAGAGTTGATAGGCATGGGAGTAAAGGATTTCAGCCATCAGACAGGTTTGCTTCCTATAGAAGGACGGATCATGGTCAGAATAGCAGAACTTTACAGGAGAAGGAACCATCAGGGTCCCGGGATTTAGCATACCCCTGTTATCTGACTACAACTTCAACATAGTTTAGTAGAGTTGGTTTTGGCTATGGGGAACATTAAAGAGACAAGATTTCCGAAATCAATTCGATCGGATCCTAGTCAAAAGGATCCTAATTTATGGTGTGAATTCCATAGAACGCATAGCCATAGAACTGGGGACTGGTGACACCTTTGTGAAGATGGTGCAACGCTATTGAAGAATGGTCACCTTAGAAAATTTCTAAGTGATTGGACCAAAAGTAATTATGGTAGGAATCGAGATGTTGTGGAACTGGATAAACTAGCTATAGGGTTAACTCGCCTAACGATAAACATGATCTTTGGTGGTGACGAGGTAAATGGGGTGAAGTTTTTAGCAGCAAAGAAGAGGAAGATATTGCTAACTCCTGGCAAGAGGATCCGAGAAGCAGCTGAAGATGATGAAATCACCTTCTTGGAAGAGGATGATAATAGCATTCTCTTATTGTCTTAGATTTTAAAATTAAACGTGTGTTGGTTGATCGAGGTAGTTCAGCTAATATCATTCAATGGAGAATTTTGGTACAAGAAAAGTTAACCGGAAACATAATTCTGGCAACGAAGCTTCTTGCCTGGTTCAACCTTACAAGTGTAACGACCCAAGGAGAGTTTTATTGCCTAGGTATGCTGAAGGCATACCAAAGACCACTCTGTTTGAAGTGGTAGATGGCGACATGGGATATAATGTGAACCTTGGAAGACCATAGATTCAAGAAATGAAGGTTGTTCCATCGAATTACCATCAGGTGCTGAAGTTCTCCACACCGGATAGGGTCAAAAAAATTAGAGGAGATCAACCAACTGCAAGAGAAATGAATGTAGTTACCTTGTGCAGTAGCAAGGCAAAAGGAACATTCAAATAATAACTACAGGAACTAGTGCCCTCATCTATTTTGATTCAAGATAATGGAGGCGAGAAGTCATCAGATTTCTATCAGGTACCGAAGTCTTTTCAGGTACCGGAGGAAACGAATGCAACCAAATCGACTACAGAGAAGCTCGAACAAGTGGCCTTGTTCACAGAGTTCTTAGAAAGAAAGTTCCACTTAGGAATAGGGTTGAACCCCAAACTAAGACCTTAAAATTATTAATTTTCTTAAAGCTAACGTCGATTGTTTTGTGTGATATCATTCTGATAGGATAGGTATTCTGTTGGAAGTGGCTGTCCATAAGCTAAGTTTACACCCTAACATCCCTCCGATAAGGCAGAAAAAATGACCGATAGCAGAGGTTAGAAACAGGTTTGTTAAAGAAGAGGTAACCCGGTTGCTTAATATAGAATCAATTCGAGAGGTAAATTATCCAGATTGGTTAGCTAACGTGGTGGTTGTTCCCAAAAAAATAACAAATTTAGAATTTGTGGGGATTATAAAAATTTGAATAAGGCATGTCCTAAGGACTCTTTACCATTACGTAACATTAACCAAATGATTGATGATATGACCGAGCATGAGTTAATAAACTTTTGTAATGCGTATTACAGATATAATCAAATTAGGATGCACCTCGAAGATCAAGAAAAAAATATCATTTATCACAAAATTTGGCACATACTACTATAATGTGATGCCTTTCGGGCATAAGAATGCTGGAGCCACTTACCAAAGGCTTGTTAATAAGATGTTTGAACATCAAATTGATAAAACTATGGAGGTTTACATTGATGATATATTGGTTAAGTCTCTTAATGCAGGAGGTCATTTGGCTCATTTACAAGATACATTTGTAATTTTAAGGAAATACAACATGAAGCTCAAACTGTGGTTCCGAGAAGTTTCTTGACCTTTTGGTTTCACAACGAGGAATTGAAGTGAATCCCGACAAAATCAAGGCCATAGAAGATATCCCTAAACAATTGACAAGTGTAAAGGAAGTTCAAAGGTTGACTGGCTGGTTGGTGGCACTTAGTAGGTTCATTTCGAGATCTTCGGAAAAGTGCCATCATTTCTTTTTTCTCTTGAAAAAGAAGAATGATTTTTCTTGGACTCCGGAATGCCAGAAGGCATTGAAAGACCTAAAGAGGTACTTGCGTAGCCCTCCGTTGTTGTCAAAACTGAAGGAAGGAGAGAAATTGTTAATTTACTTGGCAGCTTCATAGGTTGCGGTTGTTGACAGTCAATTTTGACTCTCCGTATTTAAAAAATAAATTTTGCAAGCTTCCTTGTCAAAAAATGATAAAATGTAGTAGTATTTTACACATTATTAACTGTAATGTAATTTATTGATAATTATTCCTATTTTTACAAATATAGGAATTTTTATCATTTTATTTCAATTGGTTAAATACTACCATTTTTGTATATTTTTATAGATTTCAAATAATTTATTGGTAATTGCCCTTTTTCAAATATTAGGATATTTTATCAATTTATTGTCTTTTCAAAAAAATAAAATAATAATTACTACATCTTTGTTGTAGAAATTGACATTTAAATAAATACTACAAGATTTTTTAATTAAATAAATATTTTCAATTCTTATAATACAGTCTATTTAATTACAAGGAGGCCAGTAAAATTTATCTCAAATACGGATCAAATACAATCGAAATTCAGTGTCTCATCAACATCTGATATGACAACACATCCGATGTGACAAGACATCTTGATAAGTCACTTGATGTAACCTAATATGACAAGTGACATGACATGACATGACATTGAGGTGACTTCACATTATGTTGACCATTGGATAATAACCCTGGAACAAATAATGATGGCTTTGTTTGTCCAATGGGTAAAGGGGTGCTTTGTGTTTTAATATAAATAAAGAGTCCCAAAAATCTAACAAGAGGGGATACTCATTTTACACCATCAGATTTTGAGAGAGGGGTGTAACCCTAATTTTGTTCTTCTCTCGTTCTCTCTTTTACAGACACCAGCCGCCCCCTCCCAAGCTCTCATCTCTCTCATTTCTCCAATAATGGTTGCCGCCCAGCCCCTCTATATTCCCTCTCTCTAAAAGTTTGATGCCGCCGCCGCTTTCCGGCGAGCTTGGCTGGCCGGCAAACAACTAGTGCAAACCCCATCGCCGACCCTACTATTCATGTCACCTCCTCTCTCCGTCTCTGTCTCTTCATGCGTATAACACACAGATCTAGAGAAAATATACTCGTCGGAGGAATGAAACTCCACTGAAAGTGGCGGATCTGGTGTTTGGCCGGAGTCTTAGCCGGAAAATTGGGTCTGGCAGCCTATACACGTCCCGGTAGTTGCTCACTGCCTCTTTGACGAAGATTCATCTCATCCGTTGCGTCAACACTAGTGACTTAGCTATTGTTATTCATCGTCGAGTACTTTTGACATTCTACGGGTGGTTCAGGTATCAATACTTTGTTGTGTTACTTTAATGCATATTCATTTCATTAGGTGTCATTCTAATGCCTTTGTTGTCAGAACTTTTTCAGTTATGTTAAGCTTGAATTGACCATTTAGTTCGCTTGGTCATTACTAACCTAAATGCTTGATTTTGTCTCTATTCATTTGGTTATTCCATCAATAAGCAACATTAATTACGTAAGAAGAGTTTGCTGGAAATCTATTATTGGCCATCCATGTTGGACACTATCATGGCTTTTTCTTAGATTATTGTTGTTTTCACATTGCTGTGTGATTTCAATGTTATTGAGCAGATGCTACATTGATTATGCTTTGGCCGATGAGAAAATAACCCCGAGTTATTGAGGCCACGACCCTTGGAATAACCCTCGGACCGGGTCCGAAATAACGAGGTGATGATGATAAATATCAGAAAAAGAAAAAAAACGAGAACACAAACCAACAACCTATAGTTGGCGATACGGTTGGCCACCGGAGTTTCTACCGAGGCGGTTCCCGTTTTCATGTCTTGGTGTATATCGGATATTACATGTATCTGATCCTCCTATATTATCTTTTAAACTATTTTCCAAAACTATTTTCAAAAACAATTTCTCACAAAACATTTTTTCAAATAAAAGCATTTCAGAAAATAAATTAGTCTATTATTTACCTAATATTTTACTAATAATTTTACTTCTCTTGTCTTGCGAGGTACTATCATACGGAGTTACTCTCGGAAGATGACACTCGAAGATGAAAAGACAAATCCCATCAAAGTTTCCCGCTTCGTACTTCTCGTTCTCGGATGTATTAAAAAATACAAGTATTGTAATGACCCGACCGATCGTTCTGAGAATTAATGTCCCGATCGGCGGCATAAGGTCCTGAGCAGCTTCGTATTATGTATATTGTCTTGCGTGCGTGGTTGAATTCAGTTACAGGATGATTCAGAGTGAATTAGAACACTTAGTCCCTAAAAGTGGAATCTTAAGTCTTAGGATTTTGACAATAATTGGAACTGTGTGAAGACAACTCCGGAATGGAGTTTCACCGGCTCTGTTATCTCCGTTGGGAGATTTTAGACTTAGGTGTGTGTCCGGATTGTGTTTTGGAGGTCTGTAGCTCATTTAGGCTTGAAAAGGCGAAAGTCGAATTTTTGGAGATTTTGACCGGTAGTGGACTTTTTGATATCGGGGTCGGAATCCGATTTCAGAAGTTGGAGTAGGTCCGTAATGTTGAATATGACTTGTGTGCAAAATTTGGGGTCAATCGGACGTGCTTTGATAGGTTTTGACATTAGTTGTAGAAATTTTAAAGTTTCAATTTCATTAAGTTTGAATCGGAGGGTGATTCGGGTTTTTAGCGTTGTTTGATATGATTTGAGGGCTCAACTAAGTTCATATGGTGTTTTAGGACTTGTTGGTATGTTTGTTTGAAGTCCCGAGGGCCTCGGGTGAGTTTCAGATGCTTAACAGATCCAAATTTGGACTTGTGTAGTTGTTGAAGCTTTCAAGCTTCTGGTGTAATCGCACCTGCGGTGGGGTGGCCGCAGGTGCGGACTCTCACGTGCTGAAGGGATCTTGCAGATGCGGCCCTGGTCTGGTTAACCGGTGGTCACAAGTGCGACAAAAGATGCGCAGAAGCGGAGCCGCTCCTGCGGAGAAGGGATCGTAGAAGCGGAAAGCGAGCTGAGTGAGGATTCCGTAGAAGCGGACAAAAATTCGCAGGCGCGCACTCGTAGGTGCGACCTTATGCTCGCATAAGTGGACCACAGGACGTAAGTCATTTCCGCACCTGCGATGGAATTTCCGCAGGTGCGACTAGAAGCCTGCAGAAGCAAAAATCGCTGGGCAGAAAAGGGCTAAGTGCGATGGTTGATTTCATTCTCCAATTTTGGACCTAGAGAGCTCGGATTGAGGCAAAATTTCGAGGGATTTTCAGACGAAGCTTGTGGGTAACGATTCTTAACTCTTTTATGGGTATATCTCATTAATCTATAGTTGAATTCATCATTTAATTAAGGAATTTGGTTGAGCAATTTGGGAAAAGAGATGGAAAGTTCTTCAAATAAATTTTTGAGTTTTGATTCGGATTTTGATATCGGATTTGGATAATTTTGGTACGAGTGAACTCATGGTTGATTGTGTATTAGTATTTTGTGATTTTTATCCGTTTCCAAGACATGGGCCCGAGTCGACCTTTTGGGCCGAATTTTCGATTCTTTACTAAAGTCGTAGATTTATTATTTAAATTAGTTTCTCGTAATTTTATTCATGATATGTAATTGTGTTTGGCTAGATTTGGGCCATTCAGAGTCGGATAATCGAGGAAAGGGCATTCTTACTGATTGATTGAGCTTGGTTCGAGGTAAGTATCTTGCCTAACTTCATGTGGGGAACTACCCCTTAGGATTTGAGTCTTCTATGCTAATTGTAGTCTGTGTACGCGAGGTGACAAGAACATGATCAAACTTATTTATGGAAAGTTGGCCTTTTAGGGTTCTTAGGTCCTTGTATTCACTGATTATGCAGTTGTTATGTTATGAATACGTCTCTTAATTACTAGTTTTACCTCTACCTGCTTTAATTAGAATTAATTGCTTCATGATTCGCCCTTGATGCATATTTGACTCATCTGTGCCTTAACTGAAATTGTTATCTCTTCTATTGCCATGCTATCTTTCCCCTAACTGCTTATCTTTATTTGAAGTTATAATTATCTCTTTTGTAATTGTTCATCCTTAATTGAGGCTATGATTATCTTTCTGCTGCTTATCCCTAATTGAATTTGTTGTATCTCTTTCTTAATTTGCCAACCTTAAAACGAAGTTAGATATCTTATATTTTAGTTGACTTGTCCTTATTTAGAATTATTCGCCTTGTGTTAGCTCCCTCGTTATTGAATTGTACATTGTGTACCGTTGTTGCATAATATGTCCTTTCTTGTTTAGCTGTTCTTATTATGACTACCATTCTCCATTTTGGCCCCTCCTTGTGAATTAATTCCTCTGTTCCTTTGAGTTCTAGAATTTCTGAGTTGATTTATTTGCCGTACTCTTGTATTAGTGTTATTGTTGATGTTGTACTTGTTGTTTTTGCATATTTACTTTGGGACTACGAGGCGGTACCTCGGAAGATCCTCCTTTCTTACATATTTACTTTGGGACTACGAGGCGGTACCTCGGAAGATCCTCCTTTCTTACATATTTACTTTGGGACTACGAGGCGGTACCTCGGGAGATCCCCCTGTCTTGCATATTTACTTTTGGGACTACGAGGCGGTACCTCAGGAGATCCCCTGTTGAGCATTTACTTTTGGGACTACGAGACGATATCTCGGGAGTGCCTTTTGTTGACATCTCTTTGTTATGGGGTTGCACGAGGTTTCTGCAGTGCTATTATTATTATTGATATTTGCACATGCGGCGTGACAAGGTGGGATACATATATGTGAGTTGCACATGTGGCGAGACAAGGTGGGAACATTATTATGCACGTGTGGCGAGATAAGGCGGGCATTTACTTTACCATTGCACACGTGGCGAGACAATGTGGGCTATGTCAAGGATTGATTTGTGATGGCATGGAGGAATTCTTGTTGTTGATATTTGTGTAGTGGTACACTTATCTGTGTGAGCTTTATCTTGTGAAAGTTGTGAGAAAATATTCTACGTGATGTCCGTCCTATTCCTTATGCTCACTAGATGGTATGAACTATGTTAGGACATTTGCACAAACATGCACGTAGTTAAGCACTCTTATCGGATAAGAGGTTTCCTTGATATTGTTGAGTATAGATGCATACCGTTGCTTACTTGCCTTCTATGTGATAATGGCACTATTTGGCACGCGAGTCGTCAGTGCGGTTATGTGGTGTAATGAGGGCACATGATGCCAAGTGTTAGGGTTTAGGTATTGAGGCACGTGAGTTGTAATTTGTCCGAGGTTCAGTACCTCGTGGAGTTTATTGACAAAAACCCAGTGTGGAAGCTGTCGTATTGTTGAGTTGCTACTTGTCCTTTCTTTATCTGTGATTATCGGACTTAGGCTGTGTTTCCGTTCATTCTTCTATGTCATTATTATGGTGTTCCGCTGATAGTGTTTTTTTTCCTTCCTTATTGCAATTACCGTATTAATTGCCACTTCGCGTAGTCTTTATGTAGATATCATACTCTGTTGTTTCTATACTTATACTTGTTCAGGTTATTTAGTCCAGTAGGTGTCTTGACTGTACCTCGTCACTACTCCACTGAGGTTAGTCTTTATACTTACTGGGAACCGCCGTGGTGTACTCGTACTATACTTCCGCACATTTTTGTGCAGATCCAGGCATTTTCAAAGTCAGTTGATCATTAGCTAGTTGTGCGGATTGTTGCTGTGAAGACTCAAGATAAACCTGATGCTGCGTTCGCAGGCTTCGGAGTCACCTTATGATTTGTATTCACACTGTTTACTTTATTTAAAACATTTGTATTTAGAAAATTGTAACAAACTCTGTAGAGCTTATGACTTGTACTACCGGTTTTGGAAATTATAAATTTTATAGAGATTTCTATTTCAAAAGTTGTTAGATGTTATTTATTATTGTTGTTATTCAGTAAATGTTAGGCTTACCTAGCCCCTAAGACTTGGTGCCATCACGATATCCAACGAAGGGAAAATTGGGTCGTGGCAAGTATAGTAAAAATTGTAGATAGATATCATATCTAATTACTTAGTTATGCTTGATTGATATTACCCGCTTCGTACTTTTCGATCCCGAATGTACTAAATAATACAAGTATAGTAAAAATTGTAGATAGATGTCATATCTAATTACTTAGTTATGCTTTCTTGATATTTGTTTACGTGTGACAACACTTAGGAAATTACATCTAGTTAATAATCAAGGTAACTTGCTGTCGCGGCCCCAAATCTCCTTCGTAGGATGTCATGACAGTACCTAGTCTCTAAGACTATGTAAGCCTAACAATATGCGAAAATATCGAATAAAAACATAAAATTTCAAAACTTCAACAATTTTACCAATAGATTATAAGCTCAATACGTACAATGTTCTAAAACCCGGTGAGATATAAGTCACAAGCTCTAGATACAATGCTTAACAATCCTATACATCACTGTCTACAAAAATATAAAGGAACAAGAAAAGAATAGGATAGAAGGGGACTCCGAGGCTTGCGGACGCGGGCAACTGTACCTTGAAGTCTCCAGAGCAGCAAAACAGCGCGCTAATATCGAGGTTGATAGGATATATCTGGATCTGCACAAAATTATGTGCAGAAGCGTAGTATGAGAACACCACAACGGTACCCATTAAGTGCCAAACCTAACCTCGGTAGAGTAGTATCGAGGTGAGGTCAAGGCCCTACTGCTGAAAATAAGAACAAGGTAGGAGATATAATGATATAATGAAAATGACAGGGAAGTGAACAATGAAGAATTTACGGGAAATAACAACACGGAATCAAGAAAAGCTAATACAACACGAAAGGAAAATAAGAATTTTACATGTTAGGGAAAACAAGAACTAAACAATACAGCATATAAAGAATATCAACAGGGTACTCCCGAGGTATCGTCTCGTAGTCCCAAATCATAAAAACAAATCACAATCTTTCCTTATATCACCCTGGGAGCCGTTATATTTGGTTTTTGAAAATTATTTTCCCCAAATAGCATTCCGCGTTTTAGCCCACCTTATCACACCGCATGGCTTCTAGTAGTTCCCCTACTAGCCATGCGTATCAAGCCCACCTTATCTTACCGCATGCTTTTCAATACCCTGACCTTATACCACCGCACGCTTATCAATAATCACAAACAGCACGACAGAAAACTCATGCAACAATAACAACCACATGACAGAAACCTCGTGCAAACAATAACAACCGCACGGCAAAAACCTGGTGCAACAATCAAACCCGCACTTCAACAATAACACGAAAGCCAAAACAC